TCAGAGTTTGTGAAAGTGTTATCGGAAAGGATGGATAATATTCACCATCAAGTGCGTTCAAACTTGAAAACGTCTGCTGATTTGATGAAGGTATCGTATGATAAGAGATCTACTGAAGTCAGCTTTGTACCAGGAGACGAGGTGTGGTTGTATAATCCCAGGAATACCAATGGGAAGTCTCCTAAGTTGTCTTCTCCGTGGGAAGGCCCATATGACATTGTGGATCGTCTCTCAGACGTGACTTTCCAGATAAAATGTGGTCGGCGAGGTAAGCTAAAAGTGGTGCATGCCAACAGGCTTTGGCTTTATCACAGTCCAGAACATTTCAGTTGGGACAAAGTGAACAACAGAACAAATGACGCTGCTGAAGACGTGTCACCTGAAAAAGCCACCATCGAAGAAGAAACTCTACTCAGTTTTGAGAAGGGAAGCGGTGAAGCTCTTGATGAGGTTACTTCCACTGATGTGACTGTTACCAAAGATAAGACATTTCCTGATGAAGCAGATGAACCCCACGTGAAGCAGAAACCAACGAGACAGAGACCAGTAAAGAAGATACGTCCCGTAAAATTATGAGACTTTGTTGAATTGTAATTTCGTGTTTGTAATTCTGTACATTTAATTAAGTTATTGTTATTGGTTTAATGTAAGTGGCTATTGTTCGAGACGAACAATACTAAGGAGGGGCAGTGTTGTGTCATCAGAGGTCACGTGACTAGTATCACGCCACGTCGTTCTCGAACATTCACGTCCTTTCCTTAAATTTCGGGATCCATCTAGATATAGTGTAGTCTTGTATATATAAGACCTGCCAAGAGCGACGGGGAAGGTGTTTGTGTAATTGAACTGAGTATTGTTGAAGTCGAGCACGTGAGACTTTCGTTGAGAATTATGGCGTTTGTTATAGCGCGACTGTTGAAATTAAGTGTATCGCAAAGTTATATTCAGAAAGAATAAACCAGTTTTATTTAAGAAAGGACTTGTGTCGCTAAAGTTTCGTCGGAACGATTTGTTTGTTTGTTTATTTGTTTGAAATTAAGCACAAAGCTACACAATGGGCTATCTGTGCTCTGCCCACCACGGGTATCGAAACCCGGATTCTAGCGTTGTAAGTCCACAGACATACCGCTGTGCTACTGGGGGGGCTCGTCGGAACGAATTTACGGAAAATTAACTAACGAACGCAGACGTAACAATATTTATTTCGCTGACTTGCATCTACTTCTGACTATTCAACGAGCCTTGAAAATGGCGTCAGCCGAAAATTCGGAGAGAATAACAACAAAAAAATAAACAAAACAAACAAAAAAACATTTATTTGAAGTTGTTTGTCGTCATCAGTGTAAATATTTACTCGTTATACGTATAAGGTCTGATAGACATTATTAGTTATCTTCAAATCCAAGTAAAATGTCCAATTACTGTGAATTATAGTTGACACCAGCGACAGTATGTGGCCAGAAATTAACCTAAGAAGGATCGCGCGTCAGAGGAGGATTTGTTTGAACGATACTGACCAACGCCCTGAGTTATTCTGATTGGATAAGATAAGATAGATAGAATCAGTTGCAAAGAGAATTTGTTACAATCAGACTTCTTAAGTATAGTTTAAAGACCTGCATTGAATGAAGAGTAAAACTAAAAGTTTAATTAAATGTAAGCTTAGAGTTGGAGCTAAAATATGTTTTTTTGTTTTATGTTACTTTCATTCAAATTTATTCAAATAATACATTGAATTAAGCCTAATACTAATAGTAATACTGAGTAACAAAAGTTTATTAATTTTGTGTTACTCTTACTCGTAGGCCTGTGTTTATTTGAGCCTGAGGTGAATTAGTGTGATATTTCCTTAATTTATACCTGCCAGAATCAGTTTGTGATCTCTAGTGAAATTGAAATCGTATGATAGCACTAACTCAGTAACTGTTAGTATTAAAACAACTGTTACAAGTTCTACTAGTGCTACTGCTGTTATTCTAAGGTCATAATGGTGACATGTGAGTGTGAATATACTAATGTAATATTCTAATATACTATTAGTGATAGTGAATTAGTATCTCAACCATTTACAGTACTCAAAATCCTGCCCAGAAGAAGAGTAAAATAAGTTGTAAATTAAATTCCTTCTTGATGGCTCATTTTTTGGTTAGTGTTATCTTTGTGTGCATCATTTTGCCAGTGATTATTGTTTCACAATTCAACTGGCAAACTAGAGATAGTTTTGACACCATTCGTAACAAACTGGATAAAGTGACTAGTGAAAACTGCAAGGTCCTGGATGTAAACGATCTTTTCCTACCTTCAGACACTATCACTCATGTGCCTGATATAAAAACACTTGGTATTGATCCTGTATTTCCAAATCGTACCAACTTGTTGCATATTCATAATATGGCTGTTACACGTGCATTTTATTACAGGTAGGATATGTTTAAAATTTTCTATTTTCTTTAAATGTAAATATTCTTTATGTATGTGTATATTAATATACAAGATTATTATATTTATCGCTCTTAATAATATTGACTTTTAACAGTGTTTTGGAGACATGATACCATACTTCAAATGCTGTTTGCTGAAGATGTATATATTATTAATACATATAGCTTTAGCAAACTGTATTACTATTACTTCATCTCATGACCTGATACATTATTATAAGCATGTAGTAGCATAAGTTCTTGAAAAGCAAATCTTCTGAATGGGAGGCACTTTCTCTTTAGAGAACTAAAACTTAGAACTGAGAATCATGACCCAAGACAAAGAAATTCCAAAATTTCCCATAGTGTCATTTCAGTTACCATACATTACATATGTATATATATGATATTACTATTTGTTCATACACTCTTAAGTTTCAGATATTTTTCTTAAAATATAGAACAGTAAGTAAAGAATATATAGAAAACAATGATCTCTAGTAGTTTACATTACCAAATAATGACTGCTGAATGACATCTCCCTAACACACAGAACTAACCTGAGGATAGATGCCATCATGGAAGTAATGACTACTTGCCTACAGTCAATTTACTTTAAGTACAGTGAAGATTTCTATGAGCAAATGGGTGATATAGCCATGGGATTGCCACTCTCTTCAGTTTTATAAGAAATTTTCATTGTTGCAACATGCTAACTTAATGTAGTCCTAATAATCACATCTGTCATTGATCATGTGGTTGATGATGATGTCACTGCAGTAGTCCACCTGGGTGTCACTTATACTTTTCACAATAATTTAAAATTGCACATTACATTAATATTGATTACCTTTCCTATTTTTTGTTAGCCACGGTGTAGCAGCACACAAAATGACTACGAGTTTTTTTGCATGTACAAGTTTTTATCTCATAGCTCTGTCATTTATTGACTGGTTTGAGATTTAATTACAATTTTGGTCTCAGGAGGTCAAACCCTTCCAATTGATATATTTGATCATGCATTAATATTCATAGATTAATTTACTCTAATCTTGTCTAAAAGAATTTCAGTTTGAGAGTAGGCTTGCAGAGTTTCTGATGAGTAACAAACTGAATTGGGTATATACACGCCCCATATTTAGTATTGCTGGGGAACAAAAATATAGCTAATAACAAGGAAAAATAGGTCTCGTAGACTAATTGATTCTAATCCTGCCTATAAGAATTTCAAATGCTGTGGCTATTGAGGATTCCCTCTTCTCTCTAGTTGCTACAATAATAGCCGAAAAGTTGAATGTTTAGGTAAATATAGTCATTTAGGAAAAAGAAAAAAGTTAAAACTGGGACATTTGATATGTCCTAAAAGATCTAGTTCTAATTAAAAGCAATTAAACTATCATATCTGACATTAATTACCATGTCTGGGAAATCCAAATTTGGTGTTTTTTGCTTTATTTAAATATATACATAATTATGATTGTAATTTCATGTTTGTTCATCTTTATCACATCTTTATATTCAATTCAGCTGTAGTATCCATTCTAAATGTAAAATTTGTTAGGAATATTAATGATTATTGTGATATAGGTTATTGATTCAAAATTGAGTAACAACATTATGCATTTCTATGAATGTAAGGTTAAGGTGAAATGTGAATCCCAGTAATGCTACATGACAAAAAAGAAAAAAGGAATAAACTAGGAAGCAAGCAATAAAAGAAACCTGAGTAGCACTTAGTTTCTTAATATTTGACTTGCACATCTTTAAAGCTGAATTGATTCCAACCAAATTTATATCATTTGACTGTTAGCTTACATTTAAGCTTTGTTAACACCCCTATTGTAAACATGCTTATAAGATTGTAAAACAATACTGAATTATCTGGAGTAACAAATTTGAAAATGTTATTACGGATTTTTTTTCACCAAATTCACCAAACGTAAAATTGAAAGAATGATCTAAGATGTAGAGGTATTTTATATTATTTGATTTGCAATGTTCTCTGCTCTGCAGTTTTACCTACTCAAGCATAGCATGGTCCAGGAAACCAAAGAAATGTAGTAAGGCCTTTTTCAATGGCAATGTGTAAATAATATTTAAGGAGTTTTTAAGTCCTTTTTAACTGACTTTTCAGTAACGTAAAAAAATTGTAATATCATCACAGTTGATCTGCAGCAAAATATCAAATAATAAATTTGGTGCAAGGCCCTAGTATTATTCACATATCTAAATTAACTTAAGTTATTAAATGGCGAGTTAAAAGTGAATTCAAAATTCCATAAATTTCATAATTCAGGGAAAATGTACAAAGTATTATTGTAACAGGTTAAAAGTGAATAAATTTTTTTATTGGTTCTAAACGTTAAACAATGAAATTATTTTGCTGGAATGATACATTTTGATGTATGGGGTTTTGGATTAAAGAAGAAACATGATTATAAATTATTCTGTCTGAAGGTAGAGTTTCATTTGGCTTTTCATATTTATATGAAACTTTTGAGACACAAATTTTATAGTCAATTTTGTATTTTAACTCCAACTTTATTTCAAAGATTTTTACTCAAAAATATTTTTGAAGCAATATTGTCTTTCTTTTTTGCATTTATTTGCTGTAACTTATGAAGAAAAATATATATTGATATTTTCATTTTTGCACAATTAAACGTGCATAAAATATTTAAGGAGTTTTTCAATTACAATTCTTTGTAATTTATGGTGTCTGTATGATTTGGTAATCTTTTCTAACAGGATGTATCAAGTAACTAGGGTGAGGCAGTGTTATTCAAACCACCTGTACTGTGAACTATTACATATAGTCTCTGGAAACATAACCAAACTCTCCTGTTGAGTTATTTTAGAGGCCTCCCAACATGACCTACTTTTTCATTAGTTTTTGAGGTTCCCTATATTTCCCTTATTTTAAACCAAACTTTCTACTTCTTAAGTACATTTTTGGTTTAACTGATCATAAAATGTACCAGAAACATATAGTCATATTATTAGTTAGTCTAACTACCTTCCTTATTAACTTAACCCATTAC